GGCCTTTGCCTATGGGCCATTGCTCCCACATGGCTCACAGGGATGGAGGCAGTAGTGGGGAAGACCTGGACCCTTGGCATGAAAGAGAAACAGAAACTGCTACTTCTTCATCTGAATCTTCAGAGATTCATGGCCTCCTTCCAAAGGAGGACAGATGTGCAGTTGTCTTCCCATCACACTAAACCATGCCGCCCAAGGCTCTGTCCAACCTGGCCTTGAACACTGTCAGGGATGGAGCATTTACCACTTCCTTGGGGAACCCATTCCAGCGCCTCAGCACCCTCACAGGGAAGAGCTTCTGCCTTAGATCTAACCTGAACTTCCCCTCTTTCAGTTTGAACCCATCACTCCTTGTCATATCGCTGCAGTCCCTGACAAAGAATCCCTCTCTGGCATTCAATCCACTCCATAAACAGGACACATCTGCTCCAGCTCTGTGATCTCATTGCCCCAGGGATTCCTGCAGCAGTGTTGCCTGTGCCTCCATCCCCACGGTATCTCCTGTGGGGCCGGTGGGAAGGAGCAGGGCAGCGAGGGGTAGCCCAGCTTTCCCAGCCCTCTGCATCTTTGCAGGGAGCAGCCTGGAGGCTAAGAGCAGGCGCTGTCAGCACAGCTCCCTCTGCTCCTCTGCAAAGCCTGCCAAGCCCCAGGAGCAGCGTGTCCCTGGTGCCAGCTCCCTGTCAGGGCTCATCAAGAGGCAAAGCTGCTGTCCTTATTGCTCCCCTCCTCTCCTTGGGACCACAGTGACAGAGGAGCACTGCTCCATCTTATCAGGATAGATCAGGACAACCAAGCATTGTCTTGGTATAAAAACCCCAACCTGAAACACATTATTGCTTCCAACTTAAAGATATGGAGAAACGAGGAACATTTCCTGCGCCAAATGCAGGCAGCACAAGCCCATTGCCTTCGGTCAGATTTATAGGGGGTTACATCAGATGCAAGGGCTAACAGCATCAATTCCCTTAGTGTGGGCTAAGGCATCCCCCACAACCCCTGGCACAGCGCAGGAACCAGAGCAGGGGAGCTGCTCCCACTGGGACAGCTTCTTCACTGGCTGCTGGAGCACAGGAAGCAAGACTATGCAGCTACAAATCCCATCGAGTCTCATGATGTTGTTCCAAGCATATTTTCTTGACTTCCCTCCCAAGGGATCAAACCCAAAAGATGGTTACATCTGATCCGTAGGCAACCCAGAAACAAAACGTTTCCCAAACAAATAATCACAGTGCAGCCTGACAATGTTCGTTATTACAAAAGAGCATTTTATTTCCGTTTCTTCTCAGTGTAGTATATTGCAGTATATTGTAACACTACACAGGTCTATCAGATCAAGAGTCTTGCTACAGTATTAAGGAGTTTGTGCATTTGGTCAAATTCCAAAGGTTTTCCTTGGCATTCTTACAGGATTCATCACCATTTCAGCACATGAATTGTTGGAAGTGCCAGCAATGTGACATGAGACTTGGAACAGGCGCTTTCCAATCTGAATTCGCATTAGTTGTTGGGCTGGCTGGATGCACAAATACCCATCCTAACTCTGACAAAGATGCCTGTCTCCAGGTTCTGATCACAAAGAGGATTTGCTTTTCAGGCTTAACGGACTATTAAGGTTGTCCTCTTATTTTTGATGCACTCTTTGTCGTCTCTGCTTCCATTACCAAGGAAGATTTGTGTTATTGTTGAGCAATAATGTAAAATGCCTTGCTTAGATCCTTGAATTGTACTTGTTAGGCACCTGCTTAATGTATGTAGTTATATAAACTCCTTGTTTTTATATAAAACATGCCTAAAGTATTATCCACAAAATGCCCATCCATTCTAAGTCAAATACTATAGGTCACAGAGAAGTCTAGTATGCGTTGCCTGTGAATACACATATGAGCAGTACATGAATCACTGAGTAAATATGGCACTTGTACATATTTTCCTGGATGTCATACAGAGCTAGGAAACAATCTCTGAGCTGACACACCTCTAAAATACTGCAGCATGGGTTTGGGAAATACACCCCACAGACCAGGCAGGAAGAAGTGTAGAAAAGTCAGCAGTGCAGCTACCTGAGTTGGTTTCATTAAGTTGAAGCAATTAACAGCAATGTGATAGTTTATCATTCACTGCAAGCCTGAGAGCTGTCTGCCCACAAAAGCCATGCTGCCCAACCCTGCACTAGATAAAGCAGCACAGCTCTCCAAGCACATGGCTCGGTAAGACGATGGGCTAACCTAGCAGCTCAGCACCTCTAAAGTGACTTGTCTCACCTTCTCCTTGGCCAGACCCTGGCTGCAGAGTCCTGTTCCCTTGCTTCTCCCACCCTCGTGTCCATCCGATCCTTGGGAGAGCTGATCAAGCAGAAAATGAGCCCCTTTCTTAAACTAGCTTAGTTTTCTGCTGGATTCAGAGGTTGATTTGTCCTGTGGAGGGATCAGACCAGCACCAGACCAGTAAAGGTACAAGAGAAGCAACCGAAACATATTGGCAGGAATAGGGAGAATGGGAGGAGGAAGAAACTGCCCCTTTTTGGTGGCAGTGAGCTGTTAGATCAACAAAGCTGTCTCAGTAGACAAAACCCGTGGAGATAGTTATTCGTGTGAAAGTGCTTAGACCGGTATAGTTTATTCCTATCAACATGAATAAAGATATGCCAGCACAAGGCACTTCATACTCATGTAACGGTGTCCACAGGAGAGGTTGCACTGGCATGAGTATAATCAGTAACAACCAGAACCCCCCACATCCCCTAAGCGGTGTATCTACAAAAATGGCATAAAACAAGTCTCCAACCTTTAGTTCTGCAGTGTGCATAACTTCCATTCAGAAAACAGACCACAAACTACACATGAAACCACATTAGACACAAAATAAATTAGGGATTTGAAATGCTACATCTAGGAATAGAAAGATTTCTTTAAAAAACCTTTAAATGTAATCCCATATTTCAAAGGTAAGTCAGAGAACTATACAGCTCCACGGATTACTTGGACATTTTAAACAGTTTACATTCATCAGGGACAACAGCACTTTGGTTTACATCATTAGGTTAATATGAGCAATGAAACATTTCTCTCCCTCACATTACATCAAAGTGAAATACATTTGGAATACACATACTGACAAGCTGTTCCAATAAGTGCATTCCATACATAAGAGTAGCTCTCGCAACAGCTACAGCAGTTTTAGGTCTGTAGGAGAACTAAATCAAACCCCTTTTAAAAAGCTCGCTTTGATTCCTTCCTGCCTGACCCATTTCTGATTAATCACGTGGATCTTCTCCAGAATGTAGCCAAGCACAAAAAATCAGCCTGGCTTGGTCCTGTGGCAAGCCCACATACCAGATAGCATAGCACACCCTGGATTAGTGAGGAAATTCCCATTCAGTTTGTCTCCCCACCTTTATAAGTCAGACTCTTAAAACAACAGTATGCTTCTGTAGCAAGCTCAAGAACTCAGTTCAACTGTAGCTCAAGACACACAAGGACAGTTAGAAAACACTGAAGAGCAACCAACCTGACAGTCATCACCCAGTTATCTTACATAGCTTTAAACAATCAATGCCTGCAAGTTATGAACAGCACTGCCTCTGAGAGAAAGAAGTACTGGGGGCTGGAACTAGAGGATCTTAAGGTCCTTTCCAGCCCTAACTGTTCTATGATTCCTAGATATTCCTGCAAAGCATTTATCCAGTGCCTGCATCTAACTCAAAAAGATGTGTTGTTGGATACAATGAGGAGATCTCTTTCCAGCAAAATGTTTTACTATCAATGGTTACTTGTTATTAGCTTAAATCAGCTTGTGAGCAGCACATGAGTTACCATATACCTGCCAAGCGTGCCTGAAAGAGAGCAAATGGCTGAATTAAATAAACCACTGAACGTGGCTTCAGAGGATAAAGTTCCCAACCTGATACATAATTATTACAGATTATTACATCATTTTAAAAAGCAGACTTCCAACTGTATGATTTCCAATGTAATTACCATCTGGGAGATGCAAACATAGCCTTCATCACTGTCCTCTGGCAGGATGGTGGTGAAGATCTGGTAGGATGAGACTTTTGAGAAGTTAATGTATTTGTTTAATCTCATTTTTGCAAATCTGCAAATGTCCCTGTGCTGAGCTCGGTTATGTGATACCCAAGCTCCATGCAGGAGCATATTAGATCCTATTTCCTTGTCAGAAGCTTTACAAACTAAACATGATTGCACTTTTTCTGGATCCCATTCCTGCAAGGTGCCAAGCATCCCCAAAGAGAAGTGAACTGAGTGGGGCAGAGGACACTTTCTCCCTTGCAGGACAGGGTGCTTAGGGGAGGATGGGGGTTTTCAAGAGAATGTTTCACCTCATGGGATTGACATTTCCAGCACAGTGAGTTCATCGCACCCCCTCCACTCAAGTTGGCAGGAAATGGGCAGACACATCCCTTTGCACTGCTTGGAACATCTTCAAACGTGAGTCACTTTAGCCCGGACTCCTCTGTGAATTGTGACCTTACTTTTCCTGAGAAGAGGAACCCGCAGTCAATGCCTCCTGCTCGGCGTGCTGTGTGAACAGACAGCTAGACTGCACTTGCCCAAAGGCCCTGGAGGAGTGCTGCATGCTCCCTCAGAGCCGGTCAGATGCATAAAGAACCATTTCAGCTTGCTTTGACCATCTGAGAAAGCCATTTGTCATAAGTAAAGAAGAACAGTCAACCCAGATTTGATCTTGTAAGATGCTGAACGCCTTCTACTGCCACTGAAGAAAAGAGGAAACAAGGCATTCAACACCTGCAGCACCACCCTAAGACCATGTCCTAAGGGATTAACAACAACCAGGAAGACAATATAATCATTTACACAACCCAAAGCATACGTTCTAAATACAGTTCCCTTGTGGGGGCTAGGCAAAGGAAAAAACCCAAAATATCAGCAGATAAAACCATTTACTTTTACCAGTAAAAATTAAGTTACAGCCACCCTTGTTCTCAGGGCAAAACCAACTTAAAAAATATCTTAAAACAGTGAAAAAATACAAGGAAATTTTATTTAAAAATATATGTACTCCTTGCTCCAAATTTGTACAGAAAGGACTTGTTTGGAAAAAAGAAGAAAAAATAATAATGACAAACTAAATGCATATTATTTGGTAGAAGCGTTATTTCGGTATGTAACGCAGCAGAAGTTAGTCATTCAGCTTTCATTTGTTCCCTGACATCAGAAGGCAACGTCTCAAACAAGGTGTCCTCTACAGTGAAACCAGTTCGTTTCAGAGCTCTGCATTCCCCGAGTTCAGGTGGAAGGATTTCAAAGTGATTGCCTTTAATATCCAAGTAGGAGAGGAACACCAAATTCCCGATTTTAGGAGAAAGGACCGACAAGTTATTTTTCCCAATTTTCAGAGTCTTCAGTTTTTTGCAGAAGTACAGTTCATCTGGCACGCTCTCCACTTTGTTGCAGGTAATGGAAAAGTACTGTAAACTTTGCAGAACTCCTATTTCAGGTGGGATAAAGCGAATGTCATTGTAAGATAAATCCAAGTATCTGATTTTGTTGCATAGGAATAGGTGGGACGGAAGAACCTCTATTTTGTTATGGCTGAAGGAAAGCCGCTCAAGACTGGTGAGTTTCTTTATATGCTCTGGGATGTACGTTATGCTGTTGTACCACAGCTTTAGGATTGTCAGTTTTCGCAGGTGTTGGAAACTTACTATTTCTTCAATGGATTTGAGGTTGTTTTCCTTTAGGTCCAATTCCTGAAGACTGAGAAGGCTGAAGACTGCATGAGGTATGCGCTCTAAATCACAATGAACCAATTCCAGCTGTGTCAGGTTGACCATCTTCTTCAGGTTGTTGAGCATCACTAACTTAGTGCCATCGTTATGGATGCATAGTTTTTGCAGGTGACTTGAAACATCGACTGCAGACTGTGGGATTTTGGATAAGTTACTTTTTATGTAAAGAACTTTAAGGCTTTTAAGCTCCCGAAAAGACTCCAGTGTAATGTTCTTGGAAATGTCGTGGCTTAGGGAGCCAATTAAATAGAGCTCTTCCAAGTTTCTGAGGCCATACATCCAGTGTGGAAGTTCTCTGATGTCATCAAACTTGACACTTAAGATCTTGAGATTCTCCTTCAGAAAAGCTAAGGCGGCACTGTGGATCTTCACAGAGCACTGGTGCAGCGAGAGCTCCTGGAGGTTGTCCAATTGTGCAATGGTTGCTGGTATCATGACATTATTGATGATTTCAAGTTTCAATGACTGCAGCTCAGTAATCTCAAAGACTGTGTCGGGCAGTCCAGAGAGCATGAAAAGCTGTAGCTCCAAATGGCTATGGGAGTTCGTCTGTAGCCTCTGCCGCAGCTTATCTGCAGTCCACTCGTTGTTTAGGTTCAGCTGTTTCAGCTTATTTTCACTGACCTCAGACAGGAAGACAGCAAACCTCTTGGAATAGAGAGGATCATACTGATCAATCATATGAAGCATAAAAGCAAAGTCATTCTTGACATCTGGGATATCATCAATTCCTGTCTCTTGCCGAACATATTCAAAAGAATACTCTTTCAGTGATCGGTAGAACAACCAGTACAGTGTGTAAAGGCATGTGAGGCCGTAGATGCTTACAAAGCACAGGTAGCAGTAAGAAAGCTTAGAGAACAGATGTGCCATCGTGTGATTGCAGCAGAAGTTCTTATATCCGGTCATGTCTTCAATATCAACATTACAGACTACTGTAAAATTCACCTCCGAGACTAATGCTGTGTTGTAAGCAATGATAATGAGGAATTTAATTACCTTAAGTACAGTCTGGCGAACATACATGACATAGAGTATGTCACCCTCCTCCACGTGCAGGCGAAACTTCTTCACCTTTTCAAACAGTGCTTTGGCCTGTTCCCCTTCTTTCTTATCTAATGCCCCATGTGTTCCTTTATCTACAACTAACTTCTCAGGGATTGATTTTAAAGACTGTGTCTTGACCAAAGTGCCTTCAGTGCTTGGCTGGATAGTATTAGACTTGTTTACGTTGTTCTTCCTGTTATCTTTATCTTCAGAGTCTTCCCCTGACACTTCGGATAAGGCTCTTGTTGTCCAGGGAGAATCAAAACATTTCCCAAGTATTGAAATGAAGTGCTCAATCTTGGAGCTCGATCCAGGGAATTTGAACCAAAAGTTACTACACAGCATGAAGACCAGTGTGTGTATAAGGACAAGGTAAGGGAAGTACTTGGCATACCAGTGCAGGGCACGTTCATAGCACACCTGATTTATAAAGCTGTATTGCTGAAGGTCCAAATCAGTCTTCAGTCCTTTCATTTCAACTGTAGCTGGAGGGGTGGATGGCTTGGGTGGAGGAAGAGGGGTTGTATCCGGGATTGTGTTAAACACATTTGAACTATTAGATTGGTTCTGGCAAGGCTGGATGCGCTTTGGAAGGCATATTATCTTGTCTTGCATGACCTGAAACACACAAAAAGGCATCTTTTAAACTGATGTACAGACAATGGTGGCAGTACCAATGGGTAGCTGTCCTTGGAGTTCCTCCAGCTGCCAGGCAGTCTGTTCTACAACCTGGCATTTGGCCACAAAGGCTCTGCTATTATTACTGTCGCTGTTATTATTATTACTATTATTATTCCCAACAAGGCACTTGTTCTATATGCCAAGAACTAGGTCACCCTATTTCATCCATCGTTAGCTTTCCATAATTTGAATAAAAGGGCACTGAGATAATCCAGAAAAGGGAAGAGTGTGGGTAATGCTCCCTGAAAAGACCAGGGATCTCCTGCATTGCTCTCCCCAGAGACAGACTGCTCTTGCCAGGTGTGTTCACCCTGGCTACATGATGTTCAGAGATAGCTTAGGCTTGAAAGCTGCATAACCACATTCATGTGGCTGTATGCTCACACTGTGATGTCTTATCAACACAGGAAAAAGCTGACAAGGAGCTAATGGGGCATATCATGCTGGGACATTATTAATCTTCAGGTTTAATAAAGACAGATAGGGATATAGAGAATTGACAGCATTTGTGTGCATGGATGTCATTTATGTTCAGTTTCTCATACATACAGTCCTTGTGCCACACACCTGCGGGGGGGGGAAGGGGAAAGTAGCTCTGTCCTGTCCTTGATTTGTCTATAAGGCAAAAAAAAAGCAACTTTCTTAATTTGGGCTGGCCATCCATGTTGACAAACTGTGGTCAGAGAGCCTTTAGGAACCAATCACCTTTGGCTTAACTTGTGATAACAGTTTGAGTTCAGTGCGAGGCTCCCTATAGGTCTGAATTTAAAATGCTAACCCATGTGATAAACCAAGGAGCTCTGTTTTTTGCCCTGAATGACTAACTGGCATTAGCCCAAACGACATGTGTGTAGTGTAAATGTATTCTTTTACATCATGGTTGTTGAAGGCATTAAATACAGGGTATGCAGCAAGAGCTGCCAAAATCAGATCCTCCTTGATGGTCCGCACTGGCTTTTAATTCCTAAGCTGGAATTGAAAAAACAAAATCACCTATTATTTGTGGTGCTTCTACACATTACTTTCCCCCACGCTTCACCCAACTAAGCAGGTGAACTTAAAAATAACAAGTGTTCTACTTTGTTTGCTTAAGAAAACACTTAGCTACTAATGCAAAATTAATTTCTCTGTAAAAAGATTTTTAAACACGGACAGCATATCTTTTCAATTGAAAATACCTGAAATGGAGAACACGGGCAAAAGTATGATTTTTGCCGATTTCTCATGAAATTTGGGATGTAGTATGAGAAAATCTTGGGCCATGTAAGCGAGCAAATTCCCCTGCCACTGTTTCCCTTTAGCTCCATTTCTAAGTCATGCCAAGGAACACGAGATTCCTGCTTGTACTAGTACTACAACTTTCTATTTTTGTGGAGTCCATCCCAAACAGAAGTTTCATTTCTTTTCAGCTTTTGGCTCTTCAGCAAAATGTAACTAACAGTGATTGTCAGTAATGTCAGTAATTTACATGTAAGCATCCTCAGGGTTGTTTTGTAATGGAGGAGGCATAATATTAGTGGTGTTAATAAAATAAGTACATTAATTTCAGAACCCTTTGAAGCATAACAACTGGAGGAACAGTAACATTTGCCAGATGAAAACAGAAATTACAAAATTACAAACTTCTCAGTAGAAAAATGGCAGCAAATAAGAACCTCAACTGATCATCTGGTTTGTTATGCCAAATGGTGGTGCAAACAGGCATCCAGGCACAAGCCAAGCCATCAGCTCTTATCTCAGCTGGCACCACTCCATCAACTCTAGTGCAGCTCTGCTGATTTATAGCTGCTAGAAGTCTGGTCTATGTTATTTGATGTTGCTACCTAAACAGCTTTAATCCTGGGACCAGCAAATCCCTGCTTTGTTCACAGTGAGCCCGAGAGATAAACCAAGCTGTGACACCCTCCTTCCTTACTCATTTGTGGTGTTCTTTCAGCCTCACCCCAAGAACACCCGCCTTGCATCAGTCCTGATGGATTTACCTGTAGCGTGCACCCAAACACACCGATCATGAGCATGGCAACGGAGAGATAGTCTGTGAATACATCCCACCAAGGCTTCAGCACCCTGAATGCTGGCTGTTGCTCTGAGAACTGGCGAAACTCGGTCACGGGAATCATCGTCCTGCAAAAGAGCAAGGCCAGGGTTTAGCCTCCTGCAGCCCGTGTGAGCAAGTTCTTCTGTGAGGTTTGAAAGAAGCTGCTCTGGAAATGGAACAACTAGGATGTGGCAGAAAAGTTCCCAGCTACCACCCAAGCATTCCTCTAATATCCTGCCTCAGGAGAGGAGTGATCATACTGCGCCCTGCAGCTCCTGTGAGGAAGGACTGGGGCCCCATAAATGCAGGTAGGCAAAATCAGCCCATTCTATAGATAGAGACATTCATCTTTATACATATTAGCCTTGATCTCAAAGGTCTGGCTAGAATGCTTGTCCTGAGCTAGCTATCATGTTTCATTCACTTTCACTTTATTCATAGTGGTTTCAGGGATGCTTTGGAATATTTGTGTGCTTACTCCCTGCAGTTTTAAATCTACTATGGTTTGAGTGCAAGTTGCGAAAGTGCCTTAGCTAACCAAAACTACAGTCAGATCAAGGGCTTTTATCTTCACCTCAGATGCCTAGGCTTACATCATCACATCCTCTGAAACATCACCTAGCACATGAGCATGTACAGGCAAAGTAACTGCTTTAAAAGCCTGCAGCAGATCATGAAACTCAATCCCTGAGACCAAACCAGTACTGAAATTCCCCAGTAAGTTACAATGGAAAGATAAATTCACACGGGGAATGCAACAAAGATACTCCCAAGGGCAACTTACAAAACTTGTCCTTTAACTAACACCATAAATGCCCACCACAATCCCTTTGTATCACAATAACATACAATCCTGATTCAGCTGCGCACTGGGACCCGTTAGCATGGGGTTGGTGCCATCCAGGCTCAGTGATAAGCACACCCTTGCTGATACGTTGCCCAGTGACTTGAGAGATTCAGTCCATGCAGAGCTGGGGATCTGGTAAGGAAGCACTCAGGCCCTAATTGTTGCCATTCATGGCAAGCATACCGCCATGCCAAGAATCTGTAACTGATTCCCACCACACTGGCCATACTCGTGTGGAAAGATGCTCACTTTGACACCTTCGCCAGGCTTGCTTGTGCAGCTGATCCTCAGGAGGTACTGCAGCCCCCAAAGGCAGAAGGTAACATCTCTAAATGAACATGGGCCAGGAGCTAGGCTGTGGCTTTGCAGCTTTCTGAGTGAGTAGCATAAAACCATTTTAGCCCTTGTTCCCTGCTCCCCTGTCCTCTTGCAGCCCTATCACAGGTTGCTTTAAGCAGTACTTGGCCAGGCAGAAGAATCTCTCTCAGCCTCCTGTACTTCTAAAAGCTGTCCCCAGGATGCACGCTACACTGTCAGATGCAATCCATGGCTGGCAATCCCCAGGAGGAAGGCAGGCTGTCCTTTGCAGCACTTGCAAATTAATAGCCCATCAGTGAAAACGATGGTGATGCAAAGCCTGAACTCACACAGTCAGGATGGAGGCTCAGCAGCATCCATGCCAACAGGCCTGAATCACTGGAGTGGTGGCAGCTCCTAGTGACACCTGAGATGAAGAACATCACGTACTGATCTCTTGTCTATACCCTCACATATTTCACGGCCATTGGTAAGGAATTACCCTCCTTTTTTTGATTTCCACATAAAATGACTGGCAATAGCTGTTGGTAAGCTTTAAAAAGTAATTTTTCTATGAAGCATCGAAACACATAGAAAAAAATCTTAAAGGAATATGCTTACACAGATGTCAGCTAACCAGTTGCCATGCAACAGTCCTGCGCAGAGCTTTATAACACATATACCACTGCTGGCTCAGGTTTTTTGGCTAGTTAGCTGACTGAAATGCCATCAGTACACCCAAGAATACATACCAATAGATAGCTTTAAAATCACAGTATTTTCTCCCCCACTTCCTCCCTTTTGAAATGGCTTAGGAGTGCTTTTTGTATTCTGATGCCACATCCTATAGAGGTTTTACTTGGCAAGGTTCTTTTTAAATACAGACACTTTGAGCATCAGGTAAAACAAAACATCTTGTTTCCTACAGTGAAGGCTCTTGAGTGCTCTCATGCACCGAAACATGTGGAGACCAAATCCTTGCTGGTTAGATGTCTAAGCAACTCTGTGGACAGGAGCCATGGCGTTATGGAAGCCAGCAGTACTGAAACAGGGACAGCAGATGGAACTGGAAAATACCCTGCAAATTACTGTGCAAGGACAGCTTTCAGGACCAAAAATGAATTTCATTGTTGCATTTGATAAGTTTCACTCTGTATTTTTAGGGCTCATTGTTGTATTATATATTTGCTTTATTCCTTCTAAATGATAAGTGGGGAATACAGATGAAGGCAGATAGTTTCTGGCACCACAAATGCATGCCGCTCTGATCCCTTGCTCCCTTTAGAGGCTGCTGTTTGCATAGTGTGACTCCTCATTAGTAGAGTGCACATTCTGTTACCATGGTAAATGGGCCAAGGAGGGAGAGACCTGCATACAGAAAGCCTCTCTGAGCCATGCTAGAAAACTCATCCCTGAGGGTGGAAGGTCTGCAGTCCAACACCAGCGATCAGAACCTGCCTGCGACTTGATTTCTTGTTAGAAAAAGAAGATAAATGCTACTGAATGACAGCAATAGTACTGCACACAATAAATAAACCAACAACGTCAAATGATAGGCAGTCATTTTTTAACCGCAGGGAAAAAGACATTCACAAGCAGCTTTAAAAGAAGGTTGGATGTGAAGAAGTGGCATAGCTGTTTTCCAGCGTCCTCTGCAGAAACCCGATTGCTTCTCCCCTTGCTGCACTAGCAGTAAAGAGGAAATGCTGGAAGGAAGTGCAGAGAAATGCAGGCTTACCAGCGCTGCTGTATCTGCAAACAGGACAGGATTACACAAAACTACTCTTCCTTCTCGCTTCTTTTACCTTCTGACCTGCCTGTCCATTGACTGAAAGAACATCTACTAGCAGTGGCTCTGAGGCCTCAGAAAAGACACAAAAGTTCCACATGGCTCAGACCAATCCTGAACATTCCCTCCTGGCTGTGGCCAGAGTCTGGCTCTTCCCCACTGCTTCAACCACGGCTGCACCCCTGCCAGACTCTTTTATAACCATGCACAAACCAGGTCTGCATGAAGTAAAGTGATTCTGTCAACCACGAATTTAAACAAACCAAAACAGAAGTAATGGGTTCAAACTGATACAGGGGAAGTACAGGTTGGATATAAGAAAGAAGTTCTTTACTGTGAGGGTGGTGAGCCACTCAGATTGCCCAGAGAAGTGGTAAATGCTCCATCGCTGGCAGTGTTCAAGGCAGGGTTGGACAAGCCTTGGGGAACGTGGTCTAAGGTGAGGTGCCCCTGCACATGGCAGGGGCTTGGAACTGGATGATCTGAAGGTCCTTTCCAACCCAAACCATTCTATGATTCCATGATTCTGTGCTAATATGTCACACTGCAGCCCAAATCACAGCCGTCTGTGGGACAGCACAGCATCTACTGTACATTCTTACCTCTTCTTATAACAAGGAGATAAAAGGAATTCAACATTTCAGCTGGTGAAAACGAAGACAGGATTACTAATTCAGTTCACTCACAATCCAAATACTATTTAATGGCATACTACATTGTAGTTGAAATGTGGAGCCTGACTTATGTTAAGTACTATTCTAACCTACTTTAGGAAATACTGACTTGTGAGTACTGGACGTTTGTTTTCAATTAAAATCAGAACTCATTCTCTTTTTTCTTTTCTCTTGAATTTCTAATAATCCTCAGTCCCTAGAGAAAAAAAGTTCGTACATGAGAGAAATAATCTGGTAATCAGCTACCAGAAGGAAATAAAATAGGAACTTGGGGTAAAAACAGTTGTACTAGCTGTTAAGCAATGCTGCACAAAGGAGCTAAGCACTTGACAGACTAAATAAAGAACAACCAACAAAACACCCCCCAAAACAAAACAAAACTGAGGGGAAAGAAATTAATACAGATACTACTGTTATTATTATATTTCTAGGAAATATAGAAAGCTTGATTATTGAAAATGAATACATGACAGTAAGATGAAATATGGGAATCCAGGTACAAGGAAGGTGTGGTATTTACTCCAGCAGAAAAGCTAACTAGAGGAATAAGCTAATGCATGGGTGATTAGAAGCAAGACACAAGTAATGTGACCTAAAGGAGCTAAGAAGAATAAATAGAACCACATCAGAGAGGAAAGTACTGGAAACAAAACAGACTTAAATCCAGACTTTGAATCAATGGATGGTTGTGAAATGGCCACACCATGGAGCAAAACAGCTTCTCGGCAATTAGCCTTCATCAGAGTGCATAAAGGAAAGTGGTGGGGACAGCTGGAAAGGGATGCTGGCTCTTGCCAGTGGGTGAAGAGAAGAATGTGTGTTACCAATGGGGCAGCCCTTTCGATGTGCTGCAGAGCAGAAAGGAACTTAACCCATTAACTTCCTGCCACCTGTGGCTGGAGAAATGGATATGAATCATAGAACCCCTGGTTAGAAGAGAACTCGAGGATGCTCTGGTCCAACCTTTCTAGGCAAAGCGTAAGTGCTTTGAAGTGGGGAGAGAAGTAACATAATTTCTAGTCCCTCCAGAATTCAGTAGCTTCTCAATACAAAAGGGCTTTTCTCATTTTTTTAGACCTTCTTCCATTTAATACACTAATTGCTAATAGAGCTTAACATCCATCTCCGTGTCACTGCTCACTTTCCACCTTGGACAGATTCACATCAAAACTGGGCAAAGATACTGGCAGCAAAAAAGTAAACTGAAAATGTACATTTTGCCACTCAAACATATCAAGTAAAATAATTCACTTAGTTTTCTGTTACTTGGGTGGAACATTTGCTTTGCACACAGTGGCTAACCAGCAGTGGGAAGATGAACTAGTTTTGCTCTTCCCCATGACACCCCCCCATCAAGCTGTATTCATCCTAAAGCATCCCGAGAGATACTTTACGCAGAAAAAGCATATTAATGCTCAGAGAGGTGCCCCCCTGGTACAACCCCAAATAAAATTGCTTTTAGCTCCTAGCAACATTGAG